CTTTCCCAGGTCCTCCTGAAAAAGCCGACGCTGTCAAGCGCAGAAGTACTGTTTTTGCCTTCCCAGAGGCTCCTGGGGCTTTTAATGGACACCCGACCCCTCCATTCGACTAAATCAATCAAGAGCCTCTGGGTTGAGTGATGGTCATGTCATGCAATGCTCAGTACGGTGATTCCCTGAAAGTTTAACCACACACCAAGAACTGCAAGTTGCCGAGCTCCCCTGTTGCCTACCTAAAATGTATGAACATTTGCGATAAATCAACCAAACTAGGCTGACTAGTCCTTGTCCTAGACAAATCTAAAATGTTCGTCAACAATCGATACATTGCAAAGAAGAGAGCTTGCAACAGGTTCTCGCCACGATGAATCAAGTGTAGTAGCATAGAATTTGGTGAGTTGACAGACCAGTCACCTTTTGCCAGCTGCTGGACCAACAATGATTCTCCACATGGCTTCAGGCTGGACAAATCTAGGAGCAGCCGACGCCCAACCAAAGATCCAAAGACCATGCTTGGCTGCAGTTTGGATGCTCAGTCCTACAAAAAAAAGAAGCGAGTGGATAAAGCTGGTAAAACCAATGTGTTTCAACTACCGATAGCTCGTCTTAGCGGGATGTGATTTGTTGATTTCGGCGTCACAAGCTGTCCCAGTTCACCTAGAGACCTCCAAGACTGGCCTACATCCTGAAACACGACGTAAGAACAGGTCCAGCGTCCACGCACCACACCCTGAGTTGCTTTAGAGGACCCTTAGAAAAGGCATTATTGCGCGTTGACTCAACCAGTGTTGATGCCAACGGTTTCCTATTGAACAGGAGAGACGCACGCCAGAAAGCAGACAACTACATCCTTCTTGTACCGGCAAACTCGGAAAATACATCCCTGTAGCTCGCTGAGCAGTCCGGTGGAATTGATCGGCGGAGCCACCCCCAATTACCCCCCACACCCCCCCCCCCCTTCCCCATTCCCACGATTTTCACAAGAGCACTCGGAGCCATTGCAGCCATGGGTGTTGCGTGATTCTTGGGTGCAGCTGCATCTCATCGTGGATCCTCCGCAGCTGCTTCCGCTCCTTTTCTTCCAGCACCAGCTCCTCGATCTCTTGACTGGCAGAAAATCCTTGCACCCGAGCTCCGGCCACATCAGCGACAAGCACTAGCGCGGTCCGACGGTCAGCAGACAACACCACCAGCTCGTCGAAGGTGCGCCGGCAAGTGGCAGGAAGCACAAGGCTGACTGCCGGCACAATGTCAAAAGGACCTGGCACTGGCTGAAAACTGGAAATTCTTGGGCACGGGGCTGAACTTCCTTTCAAAAAAATCCTCATCTTGACTATGACTAAACCCCCACCTGGCTGCCGCACGAAATCTCGAAAAACCTCCTGCCGGTAGACTTCCAGAATACTAGCATTCACAACATAAGCAATGCTGTAAGATCCTTCCAGCTCTTCGCCATATTCCAAGGCCGGCGAAAACGGCATCTGCGAAGATCCAGGCTTATGTTGCAGCCACCAGAAGTAAACGCCGTTGAAGCCATCTCGCATCACTTCAATCTGCATCCCATGTGCATCACGCAGGTAACGTATCCAAGCGAGCAGCCACAGTTGCTCTAGCTCCTCTGAGGGTAGCTGCTCAATACCCCTGTTTGATGTGAGATCGGCCGGAATCTCCTCACTCCAGGCACTGACCCAAAAGGGAAGTGAGCCAACCAGCATGCAACCGCCTTGCTTCAGCCATGAATTATAGAGGGTCACCAGCGTCCCGATGGGATCTGCCAGCCAACAAAATGTCACCCAACTGACGATTAGGTCAAATCTTTGCGCTTCCACCAGCGTGCTCTCGCGGCTCTGAACTAACTCTTCCACGTTTCGGACCCAGTACGAGCTGTCGGGGCAGCCCGGGTCAAAGGGAGCTTCTGCGGACACATCCTTATTTCTCATGTCCTCGGCCGTAATGCCCAGCAAATTGGACCACGGGTACCTGGGGCAATTCGTGGCCTTCAATCCATCCCCTTGTGGCCCTCCCTATGGGCCCCTGTGTCTGGATTGGGGAAGCCCAAATATCTTGAACACTAATCTGGGTGCCTAATGACTCGCCAGGCCGAATAACGAGTTCCCTAAGAAAGAGGCCTTCATGATGGGCGCGTGGTGCCTTTGTTTTACCTCTCAGGTAATTAAGCTTGAAAATGGCGCACATCCATCACCTCAGTCCTTGAGCCATCGCCCCTACCGAAAAAGAGGCAGGTGGGGTCCCCACTTCCATTCATTTTGGGGCCAATGGAACCAGGGGTAATCCTTTCCGCCCCCCAACTCCTTTTTTAGGCGGCGTATCGAATCTGCTCTATGCCAAAAAAAACAAAATAACACCGCACCCAGGTACCCTCGCTGGTGGAGGAATGCCAGCATCTTGCCATCCCCGGTGCCCACATCCAACACGCGGATGCGCTGGCGGACCTCTGCCATCCGGTCTTGCACCGCCACTGTCTGCCTTAGGACTCGGAAATCAAGGCTGCTTGTCTTGTGTCCCTACTCCAAACACCCGCTGATTTTACTTGGTGTATTCTCTGAAATCCTGGTTTCCCTGGTAACCCACTCCCAACTCCATTTGCCGTAGTTTTCGCTCCACTTTTTCTTGTCCGCCCCACGCTAGGGGGAAGCTCCGAAATGTTCCGTCTGGTTCTTTCCCCTTCGCCCCGAAGAACCAAAAGGGTTTGGGTACCAATCCAAAACGACCCCCTACTAAGCTTTTTTCAGGGTATCATGTCAATCCCCGACTGAAAAAGAAATCAGCCTTTGCAAAATATCCCAACTAAAAACAGCGGATATTTGGAGTGGAGGTGGCCCTCTTGCAAGTGCGCTACAACCCCGGGAGCTTGGGTCATGACCTGGGCCGAATATATACTCAAGGAATATTTTGGGGACCATGGCTTAACATGTGCCCCATGTCCTGGATCTAGGAACCGTCCAGGTGGCTTGTCTCCTAGGGTGTCTCATTCGCCATCACAAAAACAGGGGCCGTCCATTTTGATAGAAAGAGGCAATCCAGGCAGGACAAAGCAATGTTTTCTGCAGTGTCTTTTCCAGCTGACCAATCCTGGCAACCAAAGCTCGATTCGCTGATTTTTGCGAGCTGCAGATCTGCGCTCTCTGCCCGTTTTGCCTCGATCACGTCTAGGATCTGGCTGACCGCCAGCCAATTCTCGCGAGCATAAGCGCAGCACCGCTGCTGATACTGGAGCTTCTCCAGTGGTGATGCACCATCCAGCTTAGTGACCACGGCAGTGGAGAGGCCCATCCTCTCCTGGAAGGCCGGCAAATCCAGCTTTGCAACGCTATCATTGGAAAGAACTGCTTGGCCTTCACCACCAGGAGCCTGCGGTCTTAAGCTTGTGGCTTCAACATGTAGCCGCAACGTCTCACCTGGAATGTCTTCAATATGCGTCCACGTGTTGCAGTCAATGTGGTAATCAAGCGCCCCAGTAGCACCATAGCGTCTCTCAGCACCCGCGGTCTCTTGCTGTCGGAATTTCTCAGTTGAAGATTGCAATACATGGACTGGGCGCTCAGCCATGTTTCCCTCACCCGCATCGTCTCTACGATGCCTTGAGAAGAGCAACGTTCACTGTATGACTCAAATGCACGGGTAAGCTAAAGCTACACAACATTTTGGCAATCAGGTCGCGGCAAAATGCAGACATACACTTCAGGTATGCCATGCATGTATGGCAGCCTTTGGTTGTCTGCGAGACCCGTGCGTGAAATTGGCCAATATCACTGACCCCCATTCCGGCTAGAACATCGCTCGTCAATGCGTGTGTGTGTGTGTTGATAAGACGTCTGCAACCAAGAAGGATTAGCTAAGGGCAACGGCTCTCAAATCGTGCACACAAAGCCAACTCTTGGTTTCTGCCATGGCCACCTAATGACTGCAGTTTTTCTAGCTCAGGTGCCATCCACTCGCCCAAGTCTGCCGTGCGACCATTTAGAGTGTACTTGACCGTTTAGTGTGGCATGCTTCAAGAAAATAGCTGCGCGGGATAGGGATGCCGTCCGTCCGGCCGAAAAGTGTGTTCTGAATGCACTCTTCTTGGAAACACATCCCAATGCGAGTCAAGCCTCCTCTTGGAAATGCACTGGTCTCTGTCCAAAATGTCGAAGTATGACTATGACTCCAAGAGTGGGTCCTTGCCAGTCCTAGCCACAAGATGAAGGCCGACTCAAGTGATGCATGGAACCAATGCGTCTTTAAAACTCCAGCGGCAGTGGACAACACATACTGGGCACACCAAACGCCAGATAACAAAAAGCACCACCGATTTGTTTCGCAGCCTCTCCGCAAGTACAGTACCCGAACAGAACGCAGTGTTCGGCTTCCCTTTGCGCCTCGCTGAGCTTGAGCAGCTCAAGAGGCGCCTGCCGAATCAAATGGACAACTCAAAGCAATGCTACGTCGGCCGTGTATTCCTGTGAGGGCATCCCTGCTCAGTGGTATTGATCGGAAACCAAAAGGAAACCACCAATTTGAGGGGCTCCCCCTAAAAATGACACAGCCATTTGTTTGGCTGGGTATGCTTGAAGAACCATTTTTTGGAAGTTGAACGGACGACCAAGAGGAGCCGCCCCACATTTTGAGACACTCAAGTCGAAAATGCAGTTGCTTTCATTGGGCGGTTCTATGATAAGTTCGGGTCTTCAACATGACCCCCTTGACTCCCTCTATCGGTAGAAACATGAAGCACAAAGGTAGAGTTGCTTCCTTCGCAGCTTGGCACCACCCAACTTCCTCCCAAGGCTAAGAATTTTGTCTGCCCAGATGCAAACGCCTCCGTGTACATGGGTTGCTCTGAATGGTGGTGCGCTAACCTGCTCAGATATTTGTTGGTGTGCTTCCTTTGGCTGAAATTCCCTTCACAAGCCAAACAGGGATGCTTGGTAGAGATACTAGTCTGAGACGAGCATTCGAAATGGTTGCTTTCCTAAACGCAAAAGGAAAGACTACATGCAACCTTGCAGTGCAAATCCACCTCCCAAGCTTTGGGAGGTTAGCAATCCATACTTCTTGGTTGCAGCCGCAACCAAAAATTGAACAACCCTATCAACCGAATGATAAGAACAACAACACATGCGCCGCGACTGTCACCTGAAGCACTACTGGCTTGAGCGCAAGCCTCCATCTGGCCAAAGTGAACGTCAGCAACGCATATGGCCAGTGGTCCTTGCACAACCTCTGATGCGACAATATCAATTCCTGGCTTCAAGCAGGGTTCAATCATGGTTCAATCCCAAAGACTCCAAGGTGCGAATTGCTTCACGGGCCGACCCTCAGTGCTGCGAAGGCTTGCTCGAACGAGTAACCACCCGGATTCTGAACAACTCGCAGGGGTTCTCCAAATTCTGAACCAGGCTCAAAGCCTCGGGTAACTTTGGTGCTGTTTCTGACAATTGAAAGGTGTTCCAACAGGTGCATGATATTTCAGCCCAGCTCAGGGGTACATATTGGGGTTGATTCAGTTGATGCGCCTTTCTTTACAACGATCGTTCCTTTCGAACGCCCCTTGCCCTTGTGTCTTTTTGACACGTGCTTTACTATCAGCTTTGCAAGCCAACATCAAATCAAATAGCATATATCCACCAGTTATCCAAGGACGACATAGTAATCTTGGTCATCTACGCAAAGGGACACATCTTGAAGGAACATCCAGTTGGTTTTGACGTGCTCTCAACATCAACTGCTTTGCTCCAGCAGTTGCCTCGTTCAACTTCCTGACCACTTGGGTGGCGTAGGGGAAGTTCGAGCCTCGCCGTCGAAAACAAGCAGAATAAGCGTATCGAGGAGGAAGCCTATTGGTAAGGAAATGGCCGTGGTAAATGAGAACCAAGTTAAATCTAAAGTGCTGACACGACCGGGTGTTGCAAATGTCACTGCATGGGGAGGCATTATAAACCCATCGATGCCCGGAAACTCCAAACCATGCAAATCATGCTTTTGTTGAAAGCGCTTGGACACTTTTTCGGGTCCAGAAAGGGGAAAACATGTTCAATACTTGCCGCCCGCGCGAGCAAAACAGTCGCACCAGTTGGCACATAGGCACTTGTGGCTCTTGCAGAACGGGTATTTCAAGAGGGCCTGACACATGTTTCTCCAACAGGACATGGGACAATTGGGTGGAACCCCCTGAGTTTGGGGGAAAAACTAGGCATAGACTTTCAGCAAATGTGACAGTTGCTTGCATCAAACACAAGAAAGCTGCATGCTGAGAGTTGCCGATTCAGAGATGCAAGAACCGTGTATCATGGACTAGTTCCACACCTAGCAAGTTGCTGCGAGCACATAATTCTTAGTAGGCCGGCAGTTCTCCTGATTTTGTCAGAAATCAACACAATGCAAGGTCCCAATCCAACATGGCTAGCAATTGTTGCACTTGCTTACACTCGCCCATAGCCAGGCATGTGGCAACACACCACCAGAGATGTTCTTATGCGTATATGTTTGTGTGTGTGGTTGGTCGGCATGGACTTGGCACACTCCAATCAAATCGCCCAAATCAGTCTTAGTGCTGGCTCAGCGCAGCACAGTCTAAAGCCATCGCCCGGCGCTTTTTTGCTTCGTTCGCACTCAGCCGCCCAGGGCAAGCTAGGCGTCCTTTCGCAACCAAGGCATTTGTTTTTCTTTTCGCGAGGTTTTCCTGTGTGTGTGTGTCTATGGCGGAAACTTGTCCGCATTGAACAACATACGTAGGTTGATGTCTCCATGAATTGCTTGCTCGGTCGGTCGGTCAGTCGATTGGTTGCTTGTTTGGTCGGTCGGTCGGTTGGTCTGTTGGTTGGTGGATTGGTTGGTTGGTCGCTTGGTTGTGGCAAAGCTTGCAGCCCCTGAAGCGACCCCAAGCTTTGAGCTGGTGGAGAGGCCTTAGCCTTTCATGCTCGATGTGCACCCTCCCCCACCCCCCCACCTGAAAAAAAAAAACTGTTTGCAACAGTTGCAGCCGCTACACCGCTTTTCTTTTGCTTGCAAGGGTACTAAAGAATTGAAGGGACAGGTTGATCATTTCGCCGCCTCTCTGAGACCCATCACACTGACTGAAGACCGAAGAGACCGGATGTTGTCACGGAGTCCAACTGGTGAATAGATTCTAGATTGTTTTGCTTGTTGCGTTTGGAACTGTTTTGCTGCGACGGCCTCAAGGTACTTTGGACCTGCTGGCATGGCCATTGGCCACCCATCTTTCTGCACAGCTTGCGGACCTTCTACGCAGGATGTGCCATCATTTGTTTTGACCAATCTTTCACAGACCTTATGAATCAGCCAAAGGGGGTCTGCCTTATTTCTTTTCTGTGGGGGGGTGGAGCGATGAAAGCTTGGTCGACGGAGATAAGAGGGGATTCCATTTCGTTGCGCGTGGCCACATTCGGCACCCCCGGGCTCCTCTTGTTTGCGGTACCATTCTGCAGGACTGCTGGAGGCCCCACTTGCCTCCGGGGTCTAACTGTGCCTTCTGTGTACTCGCCGACTCGATTCCTTCCTTCTTAACAATCAATCATCCACATCTTGGCTAAATCCTAGCTCCCTAATTCAGAAGCCAAATCCCCAGTACTAGCATTTTGCCAAGGTCCTAGCAATGCTCGAGTGTCTAGGAAGGACATGAAGCTCAAGGGTAAATGGGGAACAAACAAAGTGAGAGCAACCTGCCCACTCAAGGTCATATGGTTCGTTCATCTTGCGGAGCTGCGAGGCCCCATCCGCACTTCCTTTGGAAATTTGCGACCTCATAACTTCGGTTTCCAACTTCCCTCCACACACAATTGGGCTTGTCTCAACATAAAACTCCAAACAATGGCAAGAGATTCCTCTTGGCTTCCCTTTACACCAACCCAAAACGAGTACCCTCAAAAACGACCTGCGCTTTCCCCGCAAGGGCCCCCCCCACACCTGGCCCGCACTCCTCGCCGGCCCGCGCAGTGCGCAGCACTTCCAGGTCCGAACGCAGGTCCTGGAGACGAACTTCTGGTCCCATGAGAAAAGCAAATCCCAATGTGTCATTGCACTCCGGATGCGGGAAATGATGGAAATGCAGATGCCCACCACAAAGCACCCACCTTGTGCACCTTCTCAAAGCTGATAGTTTGGGGGGGGGTGCTGCGAAGATTCTGGCAGTTTGCTTGTGGACAAATACGAGTTGTACTCCAATACATCTAAGCATATACATGGGTATGCATATCTTACTCCTGAATGGAATGGGCCAAAACAAAGTTCAAACTTTTCGAGTGCCACACAATTAATACTCGGGTTGATTGTCCGGGACAATCCACTTGATCAGTGACTCGCCAAAGTCTTCTCACAGCCACCTAGACTTTGACCTTTTTATCGTGCCTCCCAAGACCAAACGCTGTCAAGAAGGTAGAGTAGCAGGAAAGACCAGGCAGCTGAAACATGATAAACACTACACACTTTTAGAGCAGCGTCTAACAAGTCAAACGGGAACACATGATGTAATTGGAATGGCCCTCGAAATGAAACTGGTGCTCCCAAAAAAATCTAGGAATAGGAAGTGATACTGTGTGTATATATATAATATACGCATATTGCCAGAGAGGCCCCTGTAGATTGGACCTAACCAAACTGGATAGACATCTTGGATGGGTTCAAGCAAAAATCGATGATCGAAACACCATGACCCCTGAAGCAATTCAGAACAACTATACGTTGTTGGCTCTGATCCTAATATGGACAGCAGCGAGATGTTTTAGCGACTCCGCGTCTCATACATCAGTGCAGGCCGGATTGCTTACAACTATCGTGTGGCATCGGCCTTGCAAACAAACACAATGTGGAGTAACCCAGAGTCATACATGCATTGCCATTTGGTGGCTCCCAAGTAACTTACTTGCCAGTTGAACTTTTCGCTGCTCATCCCAGGGCCAAAAGCCCCAATGGCTAGTCAAAACTCCCAAATTCCGACCTGCAGTCTCCCTGTGTTTTCTCCCTCTGATTGACAAACATCGCGGATAGTGTGGCTTGGTGACAGCGGCCCATCTAGGATGTTTCCTCCGCTGCCTCCCCAAAAGGTCTCGTCTGTGGGTTGCTTTCTTCTTCACGTCCAGCCGTAGCCGCCCAGATTCTTGAGATTGTGAAAGCCTGAAAAGCTGGAACATCTCGAAACATTGAGAGCAAACAGGGCGGCGCTAGGGACTGTCAAGCCATTCACTGTCAGCGGTTCATACTCTCACCTCCCTCAAGAAGACCCGGTTTCGCAGAAAACGTGCTTGCTTTCAGGTCAAACACCTACAGGGTAACCAAGTGCCAAACAAGTAGAACAAAGGATCGGGCACCAACTGGATCCTGACTTCCTGAGTGCGTTGGCTAAAGAAGATCCGAACAGCTTTTCAACCAAGATGGCCTTTTTCCACAAGTCCAAAGTTCGCGACTTCAGCGATGGAGCTCCCGATGAGTCTTGGGAAAGGGTCCCTAAGGTACCAAGGGACCCTCTGCGCAATGCTCCTGGCATGCGAAGGCCATGGCGCCCTTGTTCTGCCGCACAGCGGTTAGCACCACCTGAACGGAGCCGCTCGCGGAAGGGATGCGACTCCAAAGCCCCAAAAAAGGACGGGGGAACTAGATGAACATGCCCCAAAGAGAAAACTCGTCTTTATGGGATCCTTGCGCCTCCTTGTTTTTCAGGAGCCAAAGCCCCGTGATAAAGGACACAAAGAGCCTTTCGGACATGGCATCGCCCAAGTCTGGTTTACTTGCCATCTACTTGCAGGCTACATGACAACTTTTACCTAGCCTACATGACCATGGGTCAAAAGCCCGTACCCCCAGTGAACATCCCAATCCCCACTAAGATAGACTAAGGGTGGTGCACCTACCCCGAAATGGTACCACTGGTTTTGACCCACAGCCACCTGGCTGTGGCTCAAGCCTTACGTCCCAAATGGCCAGGGCCTGTGTTCCGTGTTCTCCTTCACAGCTAACAACCAGCTCTGTGAGACTGATTCCATGTGCCGTACTCGGGGGGCGCCAAAAAAGTGGCATACCCCCCCCCCCCCCGCCAACCGCATACCCACAAAACGAGAGGGACACAGGGGAACTGGAGGCCATAAGTTGTAGCCCGCTTCTCAACAGGTACGATATGCAATATACATAGGGTGCCTGTGTCTTGATTCACCTGCACCTTCAAGTAACTCAACCCCCCTACCGTTCTCCCTGCAAGTATCTAGTTCTTTTCAGACCATGGAGAATCCTCAAGCCAGGTGATTGGATCACTCATTTTACACGCGTGGGCAACTACTCGGAGGAAAGGGGAAGCTAGCAGTGAAAGCCAACAAGGGAACACAAACAAAACAACATTGTAGAGTATAGAAGCGCTATGAACAACCCACAAATAAACAAATAGAACAATCAACACAGAAAGCACCGCAAATCACATAGCTCGGCATTTTACCACTAGGTCCTCCAGTAGAGATGGTAGAACATGGGTACCTTTTTTTTTGTGTAGTCTACTTTCGTAGGGGAACCCTCCCCCACAATAGGGGTGAAAGGGCACTACTGGGAGACCTAGACACTGTACACAGCGAACACCAGCCGTTGATCGCCCTACATCCCAGCCGTTTGTTTCCGCCGTGCCCAGGCCTCGCGATCCATTCGCAGCTCCTCGGAGGCAAACTCCAGGGCATGGCCGCACCTGAGTTGCTTTGAATGGGGAAAGTGCCCCAAGAATCCAGGAAAGGGTCTTACCTTCTTGGGTTCTGCGACCTGTTCTGGTTGGGAGGGATGTGAAAGCTACCCTATGGCAGGGGGAGTCTGCTTTTTCGTCGTGTTTTTGTTGGCTCTGACCGTTGCTATGTCATTGCTATGTCCAAATTATGAGGGCTTCCCAACAACAAAATGCCTTGAGTTCAACCGAGGAATCTGAAGCTACCAACAGGCAATGCCCCCCTGACTAAAAGTTGCAGAGATCTGAATCAACCGCGGGTCAGGGTCAAGACGGCTTTCTTCAACATTAAGAGGGAGAGGTTGAATAACTCCCTTGTGCCCTGCGGTGCTCTGAACGCACTGCCTGTTGGGCATGCTTAGTAGGCTTCGTCATTCATGACAGCTTGTGGGTGTGTTTTTTTAGGAGACCCCGACAAAACGGTCGCTTTTTGTTTGGGTTCCCTTTAAAAACACCAAACAAGGGGTACCAACCAATGAAAGACAGACCCATGTGCTTGGATTCTTACCCGAGTTGAGCTCCTCCAAGTAGTTCCAACAGCGTCGTAACAGGACTTGAGCCACCAAAACCATGTGCCAAACTGGAATACCTCCAGATCCTTCGCTAGTAATGTTCGCCATTGTTTGTTGGGTGTTTGGTCATGTTGGTTGCAGTCTTCCACATTGTGTCTTCTCCTTTGCTGAATGGCCAAGCGTCTGACAAGTCCAGGTCGGGGCGTTCCGAGGCAGAACAGGAGTGGCGAAGGGGGCGGCTAAGTTGCTTGAGATTGAGACCACCATGAGTGAAGCTCTAGCTGGCTACAGGAAACAAAGCTACCGGACACCCTAATTCATGGGCTTCTCTTCAACAGACTTCAGCAAGGGAAGCCCAAGAAACCGAAATTCGGCTCGGCCCGAAAAGACATTGTCCGATATATTAGTCTCGCCGTACCACTGGCTGCAGGTGCGCAAACAACTGATATGTTGGTGGTTCCCATGCAGTTTCCACGAGTGGGAGCTGCACATCAAGAATCTAAGCTTTCATCAACGTTGCTGCGGGCAAAAACGATGCGGCTGTGATGCGTTTTGCGGGGCTCGCCTCGCTAAAGCTCTGTCAAAAGAGACGACTTGAGTCACTTGAGTCTGTCTTTGTTGGAGGGTAGCCTTTTTCAGGCTTCGTTTAAAGAGAGACCAGAAGAAGACGACACTATCTGCCATTGTGAGACCAACCCACTTGAGGGCCCAAAGCCCACCGCCAACATGATCATAGAGGTTTATGTGGGCTACTATAAACCTATGAGGTAGTAGAAGTTCCTACTAAACAATGGCAAAAAGGCAAACAACAATCGGTTTTGTTCGCTGCTTGGTGCCTTTTCCCTTTGCCAAGGCACTGCAGAACAGCTGCCATCACCACCTGCGGTCACAGGAAAGCCGGGTTTTCTGTGGGCCAACACCAAAGCTTCTACAAGATCCTCTGCTTTCCCCTTCGATTAGGCTCCCTTGCTAAAGTAAAGGAATATGTTTTGCAACGTTGTTGATGAAGCCGGCTTTCTGATGATTCTTGTAAGGATTCCTCACAAGGCAACACTATGGTAGCCATGGTTGCCTTGCCAGGAATCCTTACAAGAATAATCAGAAAGCCAAGGAACGGTCAAACATGGTCAAAGAACGACCAAAGCAGCAACGCCAGAACAAGAGGCCGCCTATCTTGCCCTGAGCTTCTTGGAAATGCCAAAGGCGACCCCAGCTGCAGAGAAAACCGGACCGGTCTCATAACCAATCGAGTTGAGTCTGAATGTCGCTGCTGTCTCCGCCATGTTTTGGAGCACCCCAAGTCACCAAAGACCCATCTGCCAGAATGGCCGCAAACGCAAAACTACTTGCATGGATCTGTTGAACGTGAACCAACTGCTCTCGCACATGGCTGCTGTCACCGCCAGCCCTAGGATCGCCCCAAGTAGCAACAGAGCCGTCGTCCAGGATGGCAGCAAAAGCTGCCTCACTTGCTTGGATTTGTCGGACGCGGACCTGCTGCTCGCACACTCGGCTGCTGTTGCCACCACAGCGAGGATCGCCCCAAGTTACCATGGAGCCGTTGTCCAGAATGGCAGCAAAAGCACGAGTTGTTGCTTGGATTTGCTGGACGTGGACCAGCTGCTCTCGCACATGGCTGCTATCACCGCCAAAGTCAGGGCGGCCCCAAGTCACCACAGAGCCGTCGTGCAGGATGGCAGCAAAAGCACCTTCCTTTGTTGCTTGGATGTGCTTTACCTGCACCAACTGTTCTCGCACCTGGCAGCTGTCACCGCCAAACGTAGGATAGCCCCAAGTCACCACAGAGCCGCAGTCGAGGATGGCAGCAAACGCACGGTCAGTTGCTTTGATGTGCTGCACACGCAGCAGCTGCTCTCGCACCTGGAGGCAATCCCCGCCAAATCCAGCAGACCCCCAGGCCACCACAGAGCCGTCGTCCAGAATGGCAGCAAAAGCATTGCAAGTTGCTTGGATCTGCTTGACCCGCACCAACTGCTCACGCACCTGGCTGCTGTCACCGCCAGCCCTAGGATCGCCCCAAGTAGCAACAAAGCCGTTGTCCAGGATGGCTGCAAAGGCAGTCACAGTTGACTGGATCTTCTGGACACGCACTAACTGCTCTCGCACCTCGCTGCAATCGCCGCCACAGTCAGGATCGCCCCAAGTCACAACAGAGCCACCGCGCAGGATTGCAGCAAATGCACTGTCAGTTGCTCTGATCTGCTGGACATGCACCAGCTGCTCTCGCACGTTGTTGCTGTCACTGCCATAGTTAGGATGGCCCCAAGTCACAACACAGCCGTCATCCAGAATGGCAGCGAAAGCACGGTCAGTTGCCTGGATCTGCTGGACCCGCACCAACTGTTGCTGCACCTGGCGGCAATCACCGCCACCGCTAGGATTGCCCCATGCAAGCGCCGCGCCTCCTGGAACATGAAGTGCAAATGCTCTCCTCGTGGCAGCCAGCATAACGGGCTGAAGGATGGCATGAATGCTGTCCCCTTCTCGCACTCCTAGCTCACTTAAAGTAGACAATGGGTCTAGCTGCTGACCTCCGACGGCAAGCTTCAGAAAGCGGCGCTTGAATTCTTTTTGTGCCTCCAACTTCAAGTCTTGAACGCGTGACCCTGACGGCAGTCCAACGGAGCAAGTCTTCCCACTCGGCAAGTACACATCCACCATCATGCACCCGGCAACCTGCTGGACCGCCAGTAGAAAGCTGCCAGTTTCCGTGATTCACGAACCAAGCTCAGAGCCAAGGTCTAGGTACTTACTTTGAACACGTGCCGAGGGTAGGTACCGCTGGAAAATATGGTATGCATTTTGTGGCCGCATTCGTGTGGGAAGCTTGTTGATTTCGGGCAAGGGGGTCCCATGAGTCGTTAAACTGTGGGTGTGCCTTTTCTGGGCTCAGTCTACAGGAATTTGGAGGGACATCGATTCAAGTCCATGGGGGACGTCTTTGCGGTTGTTTTTGGGAGAATCGTTGCGGGTTTCTTTAGGGACGTCTTTGCGGCTGTCTTTGGCGGGTGTTTGGGGGGGGGGGATTGTTTTTGGAGGTGACTTGGGAGGTGTCTCGGGAAGGTGTCTTGCCGGGACTTTTTGAGGGGGATGTCGGATGTCTTTAAGGAACGTGTCTTGCGGTGAAGTCAAGGGGATGTAGTTGGGAATGTCTTTGTTGTGTGGGAATGTCGTCCATGGGCGTCTTGCGGGGATGTCTTTGGGCAGTCGAGGTGCACGTTGATCAACTTTTGAAGCGGAAATCCGGTGACCGCGCAATGGCGCCCGCGTCTTCAAGCGGAATTGGCAAGGGAATTCCTGGTTTGCCTTCAATGTAGTCGTTCTAGCCTCGAGGCACCACACCCACATAGCAGTTTGAATTACTGAAGCCCTCAATTGACCCCTGTGTGTTTTGTCCTAGGCAGTGCGGAAAGGGCCTCTAAATGAAGAGACAACTGCAAAGACATTCCCAAGAACACCTCGTCCAAGACAACGGCAAACGTCACCAAAGACACATCCCCTTTGCCCACGCAACATCAAAGCACTGAGTTCATTTCACATATCGCTTTGAATCAGTCGACACAATTTGCATGAGCATTCCCTCATCTTGCCCAAATTCTCAGACCCGGACAAAAACAACCGGGAACATGAACAAGTTCCGGAAAGAATCCTCATGGCAACACATCTATCCCAATTGGCTAAGGTGATGTCCGCTTTTGGAGCTGCTAAGTGAAAGCCCAAGCAAGCGTCCCCTCCACGTTGCACGTTGTGGTCAAGAAACAATATCCCGAGCCTAGCTGGTTGACAACATGTCAACGCTTTGGAACGGGCTTCGGGGAACAAAAACACGATGCCACTCGCCAATGTTTGATCGGAATTGCCTCATAAAAGTGTCAGTTACTGCACTTTCAGAGGGGCTCCCTGACTTTATCTCCGTGCATTTTCTAGTCAATGTCCAAAGTTCCATGGGTTCCCTCTTTCCGAATTCCCAAAACAGTGAGACAAGCGCTTTTCGACCGGCAAGCCATCGCCTGGCGATCGTTGCGCATGCGCTCGGAGCCATATTGCAGCGCCGCCCCGTTCGCCGCGACGGCGATCAGTAGAAGGTCCTGAAAACTGCTTCACATGGGGTTGTGGGGAGCCATAAAACCAAATTCCCCTTCGCAGGAGATCAATGGTTGTGTAATTTGTTACCCCCTTCCTTAGATTTCACAGGCTTAACGACGCCCGCTTTTTTACTATTCACATAGCCTTCCGAAAAAGCTAAGGTCCCAAGACTGCGGGGAAAAAGGAAAACCAGGGTTGGGCCGCCGCCTAAGCAAGTTCAAAGGTTTTGAACCACACCTAAACTCAAACCCAACGTCAGTCGAGGTTGCGCCAGACTAGATCATCTTAAATGGCCGGGCCATTTCCTTTATGGGGTCCATCAATATTCTATTTAGGGCCCCAACATGGGCAACTTTTCCCATACGAAAGGCAGCTTGTTTTGGCGGTTTCTCTAATGGTCACCCCACGTAAAGGACTTTTGATCAACCCTCCAAATGTGGAAAAGCAAGGGGGATGATTCAACCACAATGGGGAATTGTGCCATCTACTTTTACCCGACTACAGGCTTCACTTGGATTCGCAGTCCCATCTTCCTATGTCCTTTTGGCAAACCTTTGGGTAAACAAACAAAATTATAAGCCCATGCGGGTGTGTCTCTTTTAAGCCCCCCCCTCCTAAATTGGCTTCGGGTTTCCTTTGAGTTTTCCCTTTTCCACCCCAAAAAAGGGTACCCTCAAACAACGCCATAGCCATTTTGAATATTTCGCACCCGGAGGCCGTCCTGGTCATCTTTGAGTGCCTCGGAGGCTTGTCGCAAGCAGCCCAAGGGGTCTTGCCGTACCGCTGCCGCCAGGATCTGCGGATCGCATGGCCAGTGGGACGTCCAGTGGTCCCTCCACCCTCCCGTCCCCGATTTTTCGAGACAAATACCGCAGGAAGTCTGAGTTAAATTACTGATGCAACTCTTCAAATCATATACCAGGGTCCTGTGATCACGACATATCGCTTAACAAAACCTTTCTACTCCATTGTAAGTACTCTTGGCTGGACGCGGTGGCTTTGTAAGAGGTAAACTGGCTCCTTGGGCTGTGGAAAGAGCTTGCAAGTGATGTGTTGGCGAACGAAAAGGGTGAGGACGGGTGAAGGGAGAACACTTGCGATTTGGGCTATTGTATTGTGCGACATAAAACTAGAATAGCGTTTGGCATGTTCTCTTGCAAAATACCTACTTGTACTCAGTTGGCCACCCTGGAAAACCATCTCGGGCAGCGTGCGCCAACTTCTCTTTGACCAACACGGCGACCTTGGCATAGTGAAAGGCAATCGGAAATACTTGGTTCACTTTCCAATCCTTGGTATGGTCGCAAGCAAACATAAAACTTTTGTCAGCCCCCCCCCACTAGACATGAACAGAACCGAACAACCTAAAGGCCAACACACATGCCAACTGTGAAGGTCACAACCCTCTGCTTCCTCGGAGAAGAGTTCAATGCGAGGTGACAGCAGCGCAGCTCTGGGCCCCAATGGCTATGATTTGCCCTAGCATGCTCTTGGCTTCCCTAGGGGCAGGCTTTGGCAGTGTGTACATCACGGACACGGTTCCCTTCCTTCCCATATTAAACGCAGAAGTTGGAAACTCGGCTTGGGCCAATGGGAGAAAAAACAAAAAGTCACAAAATAGTTGCAAACTCCCCCAGTTGGAAACTCGCCTTGGCTTTAGCCACACACTCGCCTTGGGCAACAGAGGGAAACCTTACTGTGGATGGACCAAATCTGCACCACCCAAGAAACTCTGGGATAATGATTGCCCTGTAAATACCAACAAACAATGGTTTCCCACAGTTTCAAAGTGGTGCAGGAGTTGGTCCATCCACAGTAGGGACTGCATCTCTGGGCTTCCTCCTTGTGCTCCAGCAGGTGAGGTGCGGCGTAGCGCAGCGCGCCGGCGGCCTGCCACGTGGACACACATGACGCGAATGCCTAGCATGGACACACCAAAAACACTAAGACACCCACCGAAGCACAAATAGATACAACAGAAACACACACACACACAAACAAACACTACAAGCAAACACACGCACAACCAAACACAAACACACAACGCAAACAAGCACACAAACACAATCACAAGCAGAGCCGCAGTCCAGGATGGCAGCAAAAGCATGCCTGGTTGCTTGGATCTGCTGAACACGCACAAGCTGCTCTGGCACTCGGCTGCTGTCGCCACCCCAGTCAGGATCACCCCAGGTCACCACAGATGCGTCGTCCAGAATGGCAGCACAAGCACGAGTTGTTGCTTGGATGTGCTGACCCCTAACCAACTGCTCTCGCACCCCGTTGCTGTCGCCGCCATAGTCAAGCTGGCCCAAGACACTATGCAGCCGTCGTTCAGGATGGCGGCAAAAGCACCATCGTTTGCTTGGATGTGCTGGACCCGCACCAACTGCTCTGGCACCTGGCTGCTGTTTACCTCTGCCCCTACCACATGCAGCGCGAAAGTGACTACTTTGCTAGCTTGGCTGGCCGGACGATCGCATCAATGCTGTCCCCTCGCGCGCCCATCTCAGCCAGAGTGGAGCATGGATCTTGCCGACCTCCGAAGAGAAGCTCAAGAAAGTGGCACTGGACACGGTGCGCCTCAACCTTTCAGCTCACGGATGCTGGACGGAGCAGCTCTTCCCACTTCACAGGTGCACATCGACTTGCATGCCTCTAGGTTCAAGCAACGTTACTGGTGATGCGCTCTTCTGGCCGAGCTTCGACGAATTGAACATTGGCCACAAGTCAGGCGGCTTACGTTGCGCAGATCCATGGCGGCACGAGTGCGCAAGCCTCCACCGCTGCTTTTCCATTGCTTTTCCATTGATCGCTACCCCAGCATTGGACCAACCACCTGTTTAAACATGTGCCAAGGCTTCACGTGGCTTCATGACGCAATAACCATGAATCTCGAGCTCCTCTTCCTCTATGAGTCAGCAAAACCTGGAAACGTGGTCTACCAAAACTTGACCAGACTTAGGCCCGCTGCAAAAAAAACTTAATTTGCTTCAAGTCCAAAAGGTAAGGACACCAACAAGGCAGAAAGTTGAACATGTAAGTTTTGTCTGGAAAAGAAAATTGAATTTGGACTAGGTCCTCTAACCTACTCCCCGAGCTTCATTGCTTTAGTTCCTGTCACTGGGCTCCATGGTTTCCATGACACTGGGTCCAAAGTTGTATCCGTAAAAATGGCCAACATAGAACATCATGGAACCCACTCGCTTTAAAAAGCAACCCAAATTCCTTGAACTGGTCCCTCCCTAAATGACATCATGACCCTACTTCCTTTAAAAGCAGCCCTTTGTTGGGCTCCATGGAAAAAGAGGACGGGAGGGCACCCTGATGGTTTCGCGGGGAATCGGCCAAAGCAACGAACTATCCAATTGCTCGATGTACTGGACCCACGTTCCCCTCGAGCCTTCTGCACACAGCTCAGCACAAGCTCCGCATCGCCGCGGAGCTCCTGATGGAAATACTGAAACTAACGTATGCTGGGTGCTAAATAGTGGGTCTGGAAAGTCAATAATTATTCCGTCACTTTGGTTTCTAAAAATATGGACACATAAACAATCATGTCCTGCCTACATAGCATCCAGGAATATTTCATTTTTGGGGGACATTAAAACTCATGTCGTGTTTAGCATCCAGGAATGCTTCTTCTTAGGGGGCTGCTTTAAAAGTGATACGAAAGGACCACCACCAATTCTGAATGTCCAGTATTGTGACAAATCGGGCCGTCGACGCACGCATGTGAGGTTCCAAACGTTTCCGCTATGCTGCACATTGGATATGCGCTTGTGCCTCCTTGTGGCTTCGTGTCAACACCAGCTCCGAATGCGCAACACGACTGCTTATTGTCCGTGTCCTTCAATGATGCACTGCCGAGCCAAGTCACGTCCAAGCTGCCAACCATGTGATAAACGCACGTGCGGAACTAGGCACGTGCGGAACGATCCGCCATAGGTCAAGCTTATGATTGCCAAGGAAACTCTCCAGGCCAAACTGAACATTGGCCTCTGAAAACCCAAACAAGCGGCCAAAGAAAGAACAATGCGCCGGGTGATGCTTGGTTGGCATAGGGAAAACTAGCCCGTCCCTAGTAGACTAGTCCTCATTGCCAAGACTCAATTTCAGAAAGCCTACAAAAGGGTTTCTGGATGTAGGTCGTATCAAGGCGAGCCACAGCGGAGAAGAACAACTCACTACCTGAGTGGCCTAAAAGTGGGTCCCCCAAAAGCATGACGTCCAGCACCTCTTGTGTTGGATTACTATGGCCCGTTTTTGTTTGGCGTGACCACAGCAAATCGCGGTTGCTTTCTGCTCCCCTGCCAAAAGTTTACTTTCTAGTGGTTTAATGGAAAACCCATGAGTTGGCAAAAAGTTAGAGTCCTAACATCCAAGCAAAATGCGCCAAAGAAATAAGCAAAACGTCCAACGGGAGATCTTCTCCTGGCTGGCCAGGCGCAGCGAGTATGGGCTCTGCTCCAGCGCAGCCAGCACGATCTCAGGGACATCGGGCACCCGGCAATGAGCCCAATATTCCTGGTTTTACTCGCTTGTACAGATTGGTTTATTGACTCATACAAAATTTCAAAATTTGGCTGTGGGTCTCATATAGGTACCCAACATGAAACCCTAGTAAGTGGAAACATGGACTAAAGCCTGCGGTGCCCCGGTGGTTTGATTTACGATACCATACCCTTATAACTTGCTTTTATCCACAGGACGTGGCGAAATTGGGTGGGCTCCTCATGTCATGCTCACCTTTTGGTACACTACCAACAAGAGCGCCACTTGCTTATATGGCAACGCCGATGAAAGTGTAGAAACCCTACAAGAGGGCACAAACACCCAGGTGGGAGTCACAGAGTAATCATTAAACCTGCCATCACTACCAACTAAAAGAACATCATTGACCTTCTGTTGGCTCGCATGACTTGAACCATCCATCACATTTAAAACATGTGTTGCCTCTCAAACATGTTCGAAGCTTCGCTGGATCGGGCGCTCCACTTGAGCAACGACTCTTGCTGCGCTTTTGGGAACATCCGAAGGCCTCATGGCCTGGTGGTTTTGATTGTGCTCGCAGTTCGTTTTGATCTCGGCCTCACATCCACAAGTCATCAGTCATTTGCGTTTCTCCAACTGATGAGTCATGGCTCAAATACGAACACTCCATCTGAAGAAAACCTATTGCAAACATCAGATTTGGGTTTGCCTCAAACTGGCAGAGCACAAAACTTCGCTGCCCTGTTCCTTGCCTTTAAAACCAACCCCATAGAAAGGTAACCTGAAACACAAATTTACTTTTCAAAACAAACACCCATTCAGCACTTTCGGCCACCCAGTCAACTGGGAGAAACAAAAGTTTAATGTTTTGCTGCCATTCCTGTGGCACAAATTTAACTTCGGCTCAGTTGGGTGCCGTTTTGGGTGATCCTCCTTTGGCTTCAAAGGGCGGCTGAATGGAAACCAACCTCTTCGGGAGCTCCAAATCCTTTTGCTGAGCCCATTCAGAATCCGGACCCGAATGATTAGAATGGGGTTGCCAGGTACAACTCCAAATTGATTCATGATCATACGGAATCTAATTTACGGAGCCACCACGCACCCACTTATTTCCTGCCTCCCGGTCTTCCGTGTAGTGAACCGGCAAAAGCTCTAAGACCTCCCAGTTGCCCTGCACCTTCGCTCGACCCATGTGCAAAGTCCAGCGCGTGCCTGGTTGACTGGACAACCAAAACATGAATGAACTTTTTGGGCCTTAAGTGAAGAAATCGCCCAACATATTTCGCTTGCCAACACCCTGTCAGCCACAAATTGTGCAAGTCACCCACCAGAGCCAGCATACGAAGAACCAAAGAGCAAAAAACATGTGACATGAAACAACTAGTTATGATCAGGGTGTGTGTGGTGTTGTGGCTCTAGGCCCTCGCCAATTCTCGCGGGGTGAAACATTGGTCTTGTCCTAAAGAGTCCCATACATTAGCCATTCAACCTGCGAGGGCACATGGGTATCAGATCACTCATCCTGGAAGGCAACAAGCGCACTGTGGTGGCGCCTCAAAAGTAGCACCTATGAACTGGGTCTGAACAGGAAACCGACAGGAACCTATTTGAAGCATCTCCCAGATTAGTCGAATTGCGTGAGTGGCAACTTTTGATCCTGTCTTCACATGAAAATTATTCGCCTCGGCTCCCAGGGCCGGGAAGCGGTCCGACCCTTCCAAACCTCTTCGAAATCCTCCAAAACCCCATCCCCATATTCAAGCTGCCTCCAGCCTGCCTGACGCGAGCCTGGAAGCTCCAAGGCCGGGAAGCGATCAGATCCCTTCGTCTTGCCCCCCCTGCTTTCCCAAAAGCCAGTCAAATCCTGGTCAAATTCTTCTTAGGGCCGGGCAAATTCCATTCTGAAAGCCGAAGAAACCGATCAAATCCCCCGCGAGAGAAGTCGATCAAATCACTCCTAAAAACCGGTCAACTTCCCATCCAGCCCCTCCAACTCCGGCCAAATCCCCCTTGAGACCGGTCAATCCTCTAGAAACCTGTCAAATCCGCTGGTCGAATCCTCCAGAAAGCGGCAGAATTCGCCCCCCCCTCCCACATACCAATCAAATTTATGTGCACCTTCGCTTGGCCCAAGCCCACTACCATTCTGTAGCTCTCTGCGGCTTTCGTTCTGGCCCTTGAAGCCACGTGGAAACACGCGGACATGCACCCACCCTCTGCTTGGAAACCGATCACGCATTTCAGCGCCGACTGACTCACTTTCATAAACACAAGACTTCGAAGCAAACTAAAGCACGGTGTATACCTCTAAGGCAGCCTACAGCGGACTGGCCGAGGCGGGCAACGCGAAGCGTTTACAATTAAGCCTCGCGCCAACCCTTCCGCCTGCAAGGGTAACTTCCCATGGCGCGAACACACTTTGAGCGCAAACTTTCTTATTTGTCGGGCTCGTCCTTTTTTGTTCAACCACGCGGTGAATGATGCGACCACGCTGGTCCGCCGTTTCGACCAAAGAACAAAAGAGAGCAAAAGCAAGCGACATGGCAACTTCAATCGACACATTGGTCTTGTTGCTGTTGCTGCTACTGTTATTGCCGCTGGCTCGCTGACAAGCACCTTCATGCCAAGCAGTGGGCTGCGATCTGTTCTTGATGCGACCCCCAAATTGGTGGCTTTGCTTTTGGTCTTCCTTTATTTCCAACCATTAACCTGGGTTCCGAGAGAAAAACAAAAAAAAACACGGGGCACATCCAAATGGGGTACCCCGTGAAGAAAAAGAAACACCCAAACAAAAAGGCACACCCAAATGGGGTACTGGGCCCCGTGAATAAAAAAACAACCAACACGATCCCGGGGTCCGAGGTGCCGCTTGCAGCGCGAAGCCGCGGTCCCGGAGCAGCGCTGGCGCCACTAAGTCCAGCTTCGAGTTCTTCCGTAGCGCCTCACGCGAGCGCTTGGGCGAGCCGCGCTCGAGGAATCCCACGGACGGACGAAGGTTGGTGCATTCTTTTCTGGAACGGTGGTGGCGTTTCAACCCACCTAAAACCCGGGGGAGTCACGACAAGTCCGCATGTGAAGGTTGGTGCAAATATCTTGCTGGTGCGATAGGAAGGGAATGATAATTGGAATGACCTCTATAAACCATCCTCTATGGTTTTCTTTAAGGGAGTCCCCTGGGTGATTCCCTCATTCCTTACTGAGCACCAGCAAGAATTTCTGGGACGACCGTGGCGTTTCAACCTCCAAAAGCTTGGGGAGTCACAACAAATTCCCCGTGGCCTTTTTTGGAAACAAGTAATTTTCGACCCATGGCTCAGACTGCGGATGCTTGCAACATCCGGAAAGCGCACAACCTGGACGAAACCATTTTAGTATTGGCAGGGGACTCATCATTCCAGGGTTTCTTAGGTGGTGCAGGAGTTCATCCATCCACAGTAGGAAAATTATATTCTAATTTAAGGCGAGGGAGTAAAATGAACAAGGAAACCAATTCTCTCCAATTCAACGTAGGACACAATATGAACAATGAAACCAATTCTATCTGATTTAAGGCGAGGGAATGAAATGAACAAGGAAACCAATTCTCTCCAATTCAGCGACAGGGAATACAATAGAGGGGAATGGAGGGTTTGCAAGCTATTTCTAAGACGGATGCGACGAAAAGGGTGCACAAACATAGAAAGCGAACAGAGACAAGGCGCGCCACGAGAATGGCTCGCATAGCATTGGCACGCACGTCCGGAAGCTTCATTTCTATTTGCACCAACTGGGGGCCAACTTCAAGTGCGAACTTGGAAAAGCAGAGATGCACAAACCAAAATCGTCCCAACACGGGAAAAAAAAAGCAAACCGCGGGGATGATTGTTTTTTTTCTGACGGCCAAGCCCCGACCTTCAGCATCACCTCGCGATCTGAGCGGATCGCCTGGCGATGGGGCGCCCACTCTGGTCAGTTGCCTGCGCTCCTGTGAGCCTCCCTTTTGTGGCTTCCTTTAATTTACGCATGACACATGTGGCATACTTTACCAGATATGCGCCTGACTTTTAGACGAAACCCAAAAGGTTGTCATTTCCAGCTAAGTTCAATTGTCTGCACCAGCTTTGGAAGGCTGTTTCACTGAACTTGTTCTCGGGCCTGGGCAGCTGTGGCGAAGCCAGGTGTGCACAAATAACAGAACATGATTCATCCCCTCTGAGTGAAGGAGACGTTCGACGCTGGAGTTTCCTACATGTCTGCACTCAAGAATTGCCCCCAGTCGGGCGAGCATTAGGCGACCCCCAAAGTGAGGTTCTCCCTTTCATTTGGCTTCCCTTTTAAACGACTCCAAAAGGGAGGGCCCTTGAGGAAACGCTTGCCCAAATATTCCCAGCATAGTAGGCCTCCTCAACAACTTGAAGGCCAAATGGGTATGTCAAAATTAGGGGAAACAAACCAAAGTTGTACTTGTCCATTTCTTCCAAAACGGGAACCCTCCACAACAACACACACAGCACGCCCATGTCTTTTCCCTCTTTGGGACTGCTCTGCGCATTCCGACTTCGTAGGCCAAATGCCCAACTATGGCAAGCCGCCATCCAACCATTGCATCTTCCATCTCAGGACAGTTCTCAGTACTTTCTCGGCACTAAATTCCTTTTTGGGGGAGAGACTGATCAACAACCAAAAGTAGCTCAGCCCACCATCTTAGCTGGTCATGATCAAGGCTGTTCAGGGACTGAATGGAACCATGCTCCAACCACCTTAGCCAAGTTTAATTCAGCTTCCCTTTAAAACCAACAAGGGAAAATCATCAAGCGAACACCTGTAAGCAACCGAACGGTATTGTTTCAAAACAACCCTCGTTTTCAGTGGGACGTACCTCCTTGGCGCATATACATTGTGGGGGGGGGGGGGGGAACCCTATGGCAACATATTCAAAATAACCCTCTCCGTTGGTGGGTGGGTTTCCCTTGGTATGGCAACCATCTCATGGTTCACCCGCTCCAAGCTCCGTCCGCATCGCCGCCTCCGGGCAGTGCTTCAGCGGCTCCGGGCTGCGAAACGCAGCCGCCAGCAGCGCCTGGCGCACCGGGCCCTCGGAGGACCAGAGGTCCTGGAGATCAACACGGAAGGTTTTCATGGGAAGTAGAGGGGGGGGTCTGGGGAGGGGAGGGGGGGGGGGGTGGGGTGGGGGGGGTGCCTGGGGTTTGGGGGGGGTCATCTCATTTCAGGCTTAATAAGGGGCCCACCAGGATCCAAAATGGGCCATGTTCATTCACTTGGCAGCATAGGACACCCAAAGCACGGGACCAGTGCATTCACTTTCCACAAGTAACCTGGCTTTCTGCATTGTGACCAGATCTACCATTGCCTACTATAGCGGGCAATGGAAGCACTGGGCAGAGATGTGGGACAACAAGAAGTATATGGGACACCAAGATATGGGGGACAACAAAATGGGTGAGTTTTATTTATTTATGTTTTAAGTGTCATTGAGGGCCTTGTGCTGGATATCCTGTAGGTTTACGTACACATGTTTGAGGGGGTTCACAATTCTATCCTGCCTTTGTTTGAAACAACCTGCAAACTGACAATACAGTGAGTGAATACCTGCATCTCCCGAAACTACTACTTCAGGAAAGCGACTGAAGTGAGCGGGAGAGTTAACAGTAAGCGATAGAGAATATATGCATGAATTCAACGGAAACCAACTGGTACTCCGCATAACACCCCAATAGCTGCAACACATGAATGGCAAGCCGGCAGGCATCAAGAGTTGATGAGCCAGCAAATGCACGAGAAGACACGCATTTGTTGATTTGCAACCCGTCGTCAAGTTGTAGCTAGGCGTCAAACTCCGCAAAGCTTTGGTAAGGACAATGTGGGAGGTGTCTGCTTCTGGCCAGGACACATGGCCTGAGCAACCGCTTCTTGCCTCAGGCCGCGTTCAGGCCGCGTTCGCCGAGAACGCCCCACCAAGGAAACCCATCTCGGTTCCCCAAATTGCAGACAAACCTACAAGGCAAGTGAAGCAACTGCACCAGCCTCTCCTGCGGGATGCACTGCAAAGCCATGACAGACTGATTCAAGGCTGCGACGGCCACCTGGCTCCATGTCCGCACCAAGTGGGTCTTGAAGAGAGGCTTTTGTTGCCACAACCAATGAGGGTGGCCAGGGTTTGAGGGGGTCACCTTATCTAATGTGACATCACGCCGTCAGGCAAGCAGGCTGGATCAGACTTTGATGTGGATCCTGGCCAACACCAACCAACAAAAACAGGAGGCAATCTCTTCTTGTTCTGCCTTCATAATCGTTCCCCGAGCGCCAAAGGGCCGGGCGGCGCTTCAGCAAAACCAATGCCCTGCACCCTAACATCCGTGAGACACATAGCATTCTATGACTGTGTTTGAAAGCTAGGAACCTGGGACAGCTTCAAAGGTAAGCAACCACCGAACAACCAGATAGTTGGGGAGGGACGTCCCGACTCTTGACACATATCCCTGTGGCCATTGGATTCATGCAAAAGCAACGCGTTTGCCTCAGTTCAAGCAATGGCTCGGATCTATCTTTCAGCAATCGAAGTTGTCACGTCTGGTGGATTTACATGTGGCCAGTGTAACCACTATCAACATTATTGCTGGAAATGGCCATCTGACAGTCCATCTGGCTCATGAAAAAGATCGCCTGGAATGTTGCCAATATGAGGAACCCCGTCTGCTTAAAAAACAACAAACAACAACAACAACATACCTTCAAGTGCAAGGAGTCTCCTTTCAACCAAGGAGTGCGCCTCCGGACAGCTTTTAATCCTGGAAGGGCTGTTCCTCCAAAAAACAAGGTCTCAACAGTTCCTGCGGAGCATGGGCAACGCAGTCATCAACGCCAGGATGAACTTATAACCAACAGTAGATTGGTTTCAACAGTTGGGACCAGAAAATCTTTGGGATGGATTGGCAACAACAGCATCAAACACCAGCTGAAAGCCTCCTCATCTCTCTGGAGCTCCGCTGCAGCGTAGGTGATGGCCTCGAGTTGCTGAGAAAAGAGGCCAAAAGGCCAGCCTTCTGAGAGGAGCCCCTACTGTGGATGGTTGCGAAATCCATTTCGCATCACTTGGGGTTTCCATGGTTGAAACCTTAATTACAGGGGACTCATCATTCCAGGTTTTTGTTTGGTGCAGCATTTCACAGCCATCCACAGTATGTCTGGCTCATCAGGTCACTGGACACTGTCAAGTACCACCTGACCATCAGGTACCTTGCTGCCTTATGTTGCAGTCCCAAGGAAGGAACCCCTTGAGGGCTTCAACACACACACACCCGCCAATTGCAGAGCTATGGACACATGTTGCAAACTGGGTAATGTCGAGTGCGAACAGAAGACGTCTAGTTAATTTGTGGGGGCATTCCGGTATTCCCTCTATAATTGCACACCCTTGGAGTCAACTGGGGGGGTCATCAATCCTGGGTTTCCCAGCACCTGACGTCAAAAAGATCCTCAAGGGTGGACCCCCCCCCAATGAAAGTCAGCTTCTGGTGTTGTTGCTTTTTCGGGGGGAGGGGTTTTGTGTTTTTTGAGTAACTTGGCGCGCCCTGCCTCCCAATCCTGCTTCAAACCCTCGAGGATCACGTCGCGGTCCTCCGGAGGCGTGCTCCCAAAAGCGGCTGTTGGGGATGAAGTCAGGTCATGAAAAACATAAACCCAAACCTCCCGTGGATTTTGATGGGAAAAAAACGGGCACACCAAATTTGTTGGGCACTTTTGAAGGGGAGGAGACCCATCTCCCCGCCCCCCTGAAGCAGAAAACAGGCAGGCCTGGGTGAATGAGCTGCATCATTCACCGTACATGAAGGGATCCGAACAAAAGAAAGGGCCTGCATCCTGTCACCCCAGCTTGCTCTGGTGGGATCTGCGAATGTGTCCAGTGTTGGCATGCCATGTCCAACAGCCATGAACATGGAGAAGAGCATGGTTCCGGCATAGTCTTGTCACCTTCCATGATTGCTTCCGGAATTCCAGGGCAAGGCCCTTGCAAATATAGGCATGAACACCAAAGCAAACGCAATCACAACAGTCAACACCAATGTATATTCATAATGCCAAACGGCAAATCCTCAAGTACTTGATATGATGGCTACACTCACTGGCGCGATTTCTTGGTGTATCCAAGTCGTACGTGCTGCTCAGTTTGGCGTCCCCCCGCAGCGATCAGAAACACTTGGGGGCCCCTGAAAATCATGGCTCCTGTTGCAATGTAGAGAAAGTGTTGCGGGCGCAGCTAGCTTCGTGCAGATTTATTCGTCCTGTTGCTCTTTGCAGGCAACTTCCCTGTGAAAAGGGATACGTAAAATTATTACCAGCATTCCTCTTTTGATTGACGGGCTGCCATGGAGACGTTGACGCAGCCCAAGGAGCGGCTTCAAGACTTGACTGGTTTGTTCTCCTGGTACAAGTCTTCCGCGACGTAGTCCAAAGCAATCCAGTCCTAAGGATCGGTTGCCACCAGCACAAAGAGCAATGGCCGAGGCACCACACAGAGTCACATGTTCGAACTGGGCCTGGGTGAAGCTCAAAATGGTGCGAACAAAGAACACGGAGTTACACACTCGTCTAACTCAGCATTGGATCGAAGCGGGCTTGCTTTGTAGCACAAGGTATCTGCAGTGTTCAAGCTACAGCCTCTCGCTGATATGTTTGCATGAGGCTGCACACTTCCGCCACACAGCACATGGTCTAGGGCAAGTGCCGACCAGGATCCGATGAGGCTATCTGCCACAAACACTCAAGCCCAACGTCACTCCTTCTGGGATACCCTTGGATTGGACATGTGCGGTGGAGGGCCAGGAGATCAGACTATACCCTTCAAGATAGCACAAGAACGGCAAAACACGTTCAGTGGCAATGTGATCAAATCCAACCGAGTGAGAAAACAAAGGCACTCCCACCCCTCGGAACAGCACTATGAAAACAAATACACGAAACGAGACTCTGTTTTTGGAAAGATAGTTTGTTTGGTAGGGCTATGGGTCGAGCTCCATCTCCATGGGGAACCCATCATGGGGCAACAACTCCAGTTGTGCCCCTGAATGCACAAATTGCTCTGTAGGAAAGGAGACTTCATCATGAGGTTGCCAGCCGAATTTCTCTGGAGGGCCATAATGCACACAACCACATTCCATTCGCATTCGCAACCAATAAACCACTGGAAATAGACCACTAGCCCAGGTTTCCGTGGACCGCTGATAGAAATGTATATTTCCTGCTTCCTTCGAGCCTATCCCCCCACCAAAAGGAAACTTACTTCACAATACACAACCCCAAGTGATGCAGAAGGGAAAGCTAGTCACTGCGCTTACGGCAGCTACCCAAATCCATGAAGCTTCCGTCTGAACTCATGGGAAACCAACCCGCAGCATCGATCGAGTGCACGAAGATGGACATGGTTGAAGATTGGAAAATACAAAGGAGCCGGAGTGGTGATGATTTGGCGCATCCACAAGAAGGAGACAAAAGGATTCGGATGGAGGAAAACATGCAACTGATTTGGAACAGCAATGACACCCACTGACAACAAGTCTAAGTCTGCAATTGTTCCAATAATCCCAAGAACTGAGACAACAAGAACCCGTAGCAAACAACCTTCATGGTTGAGCTTGTTTTGCCCTCGAGTCGTTGAGCTCTTTTTGGATTCCCCACATATCCCCAAATACGGGTGTGCCTCTTTAAGGGCACATTTTCGTTGGGTGGTTGTGAACTGACGCAAGTGTTGGCGTCCCCCCAACTCGACAAAAACTCATCTGGACCCCAAATCAACTGATTTAGGAAGCCATGAGATCCACTAGCAATAATTCCACGGACCTCTGCAGGGTTGGGGGAATGTGTTAAAAACTAAAACAGACCCTAGCCTTCCGCTAAAGGGAAAACCTTGAATGAGCTTCTTTGAAGTAAATCACTTGGTTAAACATTTTTGTTGGAAGGGGCTTTTCTTCGCCCCCAGCCTTAGTTGCTGTTGACCCCTCTGCAAACAGTTTAACTAGGTCCTCCAGCAGAGAGGTTAGAATAAGGCTACCCTTCTTCCTGTAGTCCATTTTAGTAGAGTAGACCCCTCCCCCACCAAAGAAACGGTAAAAGGGCAGGCTGGGGGACCCCTCCCTTCACCTGGCGGGGGAAACCCAAAAACGAGCCCCACGTCCCGGCCGAAGCCCCGCAGCCGGCCTGGCGCACCGCCGCCAGCGCCAGCTGCTGGTCCCTCCGCAGCTCCGAGGCCGCGTGGCGCAGCTCTGGGCCCCGCAGCTGCACCGCCTGCGGCTGGGGGCGAGGCGGGGAGGCGAGGGCTGGGGGGGGGAAGGGGAGCGCTGGCTGGGTCTCAGGGAAGCCCTGGAAAAAACCAGGAAAAACCAGCCCCGACTCTTTTTTGGGGAGGGGAAGGGAAGGAATCCCCACTGTTCAATTTGCTTCCTTCAAGGGAATCCCTTGGTTCATTTCGCTTCCGTTATGGGAATCCCCACTGTTCATTTCGCTTCCGTTAAGGGAATCCCTTGGTTCATTTCGCTTCCGTTATGGGAATCCCCACTGTTCATTTCGCTTCCGTTAAGGGAATCCCTTGGTTCATTTCCCCTGTTTCCTAGGGAATCCTCAAAACGGCTTATTCCCAACACTCGCAAGGTCATTCCCTACTTAGCAGCAAGAGAATTCAGTTCACCAGAGGAGCCAGAAATCAATGATTGACCTTTTGGGGCAATGACTGAATATGGACCAAACCAGGGCAACTAAAAGGTCAAAGGTAAGTACTGCTAATGTGGCACAAGTCTGCGTGTGTCCGTCGTCTTTCTTGCTGCACAGTGTGTACTGGCAACCTGCATGAACAAGGGGCAGAATTGTTTCATTCAGGCGAACGTATCGCAAGCAAAAAGCACTGTTCAACCAGCGTCTGTCTGACACCACCTAGCAACTAAGGGATAGGCATAACTGCATAACATTTCTAGACACCAGGCGCTGTCAATCGCAGTCTCACGAAGCGGGATTTCACCAAATTGTCAATCTCGCACCCGAGGGTTCATAGGACACAGCCTGGAACAAGAACCATCGACTGAGAAAATAAACCATGGAATGGTGCATCCTTTCCCCGGGCCCCTAAGTGAAGAACATATTATGTGTTACCTCTGTGTGACTGGACTTTAGATGTCAGGAACACATCCCGTCTGAATTGTGCAAGTAGACCGTGAGCAGGTTGAATGGTTTGAACCAACACAGCACTCAACACACTCCATTTCTCGTCCTGAGTGGATTGGCGAAAACAAGTCCGCATTGTTTGCTTGCACGTGGTCTAGGCCCAGGAACTCAGAAAGTGAGCCATGCTGGACATGTCCAAGCGGCTCACAATCAAGCAACAAATGGGGCTCATAACTAGCACCATTACATCTTGAAAGTGCGTACGTCTGGTTTCGCAAAAGGTGACAGAGTGTATATCTCAAACCGCAGGCACGTGTCCCATCGAGGCCCATCAAAGTCGAACCTCCAGATTTGTGCAGCTTAACTACGTCAAAGTTTTGTGTGTTGGCAGTGCCTCGTGTGTTTCATTGGTCCAAAGGCAACCCCTGCTCACTTCTTGCCACCCGAGCCCCGTCCCGCCCTTGAGCCCCCGCCCGCAGCACGAAGTCGCGGTCGCGGCGCTGCTCTTCTGAGGCGGTCTCCAGAAGCTTGGGCAACACCACGGGCATACCTTGGACTTTTAAACAGATGGCACCAAAAGGGTCTTCCAGAGATAACGCGCACCCCTCTTGGCGGCACTAAGTGGTATGCACAAAATAGGCGGCCGCTCTTCGGCTTGGTTTCTGACACACAAAGGTAAGCCGCCACGCACAAATCAAACACTTCTCTGACAGGTCCTCACGGTCGCGCGCGAGGACAAACGTGTGGTTTGGCATAGCGGAGGTCCGGACATGGTGATAGCAAAAGTCAATGCATATAAAACGATTTGGTTGAGTCTACTTGGCCAAGTTGAAGGTTGCCATGTCCAAGGACGAGGCTTCCAGGTATTGACCATACAAGGAGGGACGACCCTGCCTTGAAACCGATTTTTTTTTCTTTGTGTGGGCTCCTGGATTGAAGCAAATGAGGCTACCTGAGGCTTTGTTAAAACACTTTGAGCTTGCAGCCCCCTGGTTTGGCTACTTCCATTTAAAGGCACCCTGTGCCAGGCTCCATGTTGCAGGGAAGGAAGGGCTAGTTGAAAGATGACTGACACATTTTGTGAGGAGAAAACTTTGGTACTCTCCGAATGTGAGGACCGCCTAAGTCAGTTCACCCCGTTCTTCGTGTGACCCCGGCCTTTACTTTCGGAGGCCCATCGCATCTTCATCGCCCCAAAAAAATCAGCTTCTCTTGAAGGCAGACGCTCACCGTCCGGGCCGAGCAGCGAAGATCCCATAGCTCTTTCACCTGCTCCGCGGAGTAGCGGCCCTGCAGGATCGGCCGCATTTTTGTTTCTGCACCCCAAGATGGCACCTTCCAACTTCCAAATAGGTTTCCGCTGGTGCTGAGTTTGGGGGAGGAAGGTTCTGCGTCGAAGGGAACTCTTCCAAATGCGGGATATCATGTTTCCCTGAGCTTGTGCAAGCTGCGAGAAAGCCTCCAGTTGTAACTCGCGGGCAATGGTGGGTGAAACTTGAGACATGCACACTGGCCCGAAATGTTTGCAACACCATGCAACACCTGAAGCAAACACGAAATGGTTCCAACCATCACTAGAAACCCTTTGTCGTGGTCTAGATTCCCATTCAAAACCCTGGCCAACCCCAAGCAAACAGGTGTTGCCATGGCACGTGGGCTTCCAGCCCGCCCGTCCAGCCTGGTAGTGGTCCGTGAGCTCCTGGAAGGTGTATGCCTGCCTGGGCCAAACGTGGCGCCTTTCCTACGCTGTGACATGCTGTGACCCCTTGTTCTTCAGGTCTGATGCCGTACCAGCGGGCAGGGTTTATGGATCTACCTGCCAGCGTGCGCGAAGACGCGGTGGCCAAAGACTCTTGATGCAGGGTACGGACACAGTTCCTAGGCCCTGGTCAAAGGGTCGGCCCAAGCAGCCCCGAGTAATCCGAAGTCAAACCGGCAACAAAGTGGCTGTGCTCCGATCTCTGTCTAGGCGCTTGTCGTAAGGGTTCACCCGCCGCTCGGGAGGGTCAGCTGACATGGCCAGCGATCCAGCGGCCGCGAACCACTCACTCTGTGCAAGTTGCGAGTTCTGAGGGGTTTCGCGAGGCCTTCACAAGGGCTTCAAAAAGGGCGCACCATGGTGTTCCAGCTTAAACTGTCAATAGTGGCTCAGGTGGCGAGAGCAACGCAACTCAATGAATGTGATGCAGTTACTTGTTGCTTGCAACAGTTACGCAAAGCCGTCTCGCCTGCACAAGCAGTCAGTCCAAGCGAATGGGACATCAGAAGCCCTAGGTAAACTTCTGGTTTAAGGAGTTCATGATGCTCACAGGCAAATTGCTGCAACAATGAAATTGAAGGTGCGCGTACCTAGGACACCCATCAACCTCAACCAAAAATGATGTCTGGCTCCAAGAAGAGCTAGCAACTGATGCTGAATCCATCTGCCGTGTGGAATGCCCTTGATCTCTGAGCAAAAGCTTGGCGGCCAACACGTAAAAGCGAAGAAGGCTCCTGCGTGATACCCGGCTAAAGAGTTTCACATGGCACCTGGCTTCGCCTAAAACAGGGTACCAGATTCGTATCCACCCCAGCAACCGTATAAACACAATGTACATGCCAAGCAATATGTTTTCATGCGAAGGCCCCACGCAAGCGAAACTCCTGCAGGGCGTAAGCCGGCACCCTTGCAAAAGTTGCTGAACGCCAGTGGCTTAGCCATCAAACTTCCCAAAGCGCAGGGGTTACCGCACAACATATTCAGCAAATCAAGGGGGCCCAGGCGCATAAGCAGGCGTAAGCAGGCAAGTCAGGTTTGCTTAAGCTTGCCCATGCCATGGCACTGTGGGCAACACAAACTCTGGAGGCAAAGTTGTCGGCCAAATCCAAATCGCTGAGCAATAGGCTACAAGGCGAAGACTCCGAAAAGAACCACAGCGCAGAGTTGATCCGCTTGAGAGCAATTCTTTATCAACTTCCTCCTCAGAGTCAGCCACGGTATCTTGAACGGTGGCAGCTGCATAGAAAAAGGAGCCGGCACAAGCAATTCTTAAAGGCCAACTCGTAAGCAACGCGTAAGCTTGACCGCTGACTGCCGCATAAGCCAACACCTTGATTGCGAAAGCAAAGCGCTAGCTCGCGCGTAAGCAACCTTCAACCCTTCCACATTCAACATAGGGATTCATTCGGTACTTATAGAGTTGCTGGTGGAAACGCACGCCCCTACCACACAAATTTGGAGATGCTGATATTACCTGGAACGGCTGCTAGGCAATCTGCACCCGTTCGAAGGTGTCCACAACGCCTTTGTGCCAGGTGATGGCTGAAACAACGAGGAACCTGCGTCGCATGACTCGCACATGCTTTTGCCAGGGGACGGAAACTATTGATCACTGGGCCGAAACTCCGGCACAAGACTCACAGGCACAAACACCACCCGAGCGTCTCCACAGAAGGGGCTCCCGGCCTTTTCTATGCAAGAAGATCACTGCGTAGCCTGCCTCCAGAAACTCCTCACAGCCATTCTCCCATTCTCACTTGCAACATCCCAACTGAGCCTTGCAAACGGATCAATGAGTCAGGTTGGCTTCCACTACACTCTGCCTGTCTGCAAGAAACCAGTCAGTGAGTGTTGCCCACCTCGACAGCCTTTCCTGTCCGCATTTTGGGTATATGCATCAAAGTGGAGGGAGGGGGACCCCAAAGTGGATACTGTCTGGGTGGTTCCCCTTGAAACCAAGGTGGAAAGGGTACCCTCAAGCAAACACACACACACACACACACAAACACACACACTCAAAACACAGACACACACGCACACAAAACAAAAACAAACAAACACGAAACCACACTTGGCGCGCTTCTTGCAATCTCCCCGCTTCTTAGGCCTTCCAATTCTCGGAGCGACTCCGCTCCTGGGTGCACAAGGCCCCACGAGTGCCACTGGAGAAGTTGTCAATGAACCGCACGGTCTTGACTTCCAGGGGCACTGTGGTGCCTGCGGACGCGCAAAACCCAACTCACCTCAAGCAGAAACTTTGCAGGGGTGGAGAACTGACGTTGTGTTGCCAGCGAAACACATCTGCACCCAACGGCTACCCACAAACGGGAACTCATCAATCTCTGGAACCCCTTTTCGGGGCTCCTCGCATCTTTGGGGATTGAAGCTGCAACTTGAACACGCAATTTGCTTCGCAGCAAGTCAGGGGCCCCTCCATCTGCAACAACCAGCCGCAGCAAACTGCATGGCATGAGGCCATGAGGCTATGACCATGTGATGACATCAAGCATACCCCTGACTGAGCCCCACTCGGACATTTCTTTTCGAGCCTCTCTCAGGTGCCGTGCCCAACCAAAGTAAAGCAAACAGCTTGGGCAATACAAAACAAAAGGCTGCGTTGGACCCAAGTGGGTCCAAAGAGAAACAACTACAGCCACAATACGTTCCAAAATGCTCCACATGAGTGTGTCACTGTTTGAGGGAACCCCGTGTTTGTCGTCTTTAAAAGGGAGATCAACATGCAAACCACCTTCTCCCTCTCTTTTTTTTTTTTGGGGGGGGGGGGGCCGGCTCTCCCCCCCAAAAAATACACAAAATAGATACCCAAACAAAGCCGATCGATTGATGCCCGGGAAACAACACAAACACCTTCAGGACGACTGGTTGATTCGGGGCGCCGTCGCAGGCCGCTCACTGGGCCTCCCGAGGTGATCAGCGCCACCCGCAGATTCTGCGATTTCACCTGGAAACATCCAACCGGCTTCCCCGAAAAAGGCTCAGCGGACATGAACAACCTATCCCAAGTCTGGCTGGCAAGTACTAACGGATAGGTTCCTTAATTGGTAATGAGTAGGTTGCTTACTTGGTAATGGATAGGTTGCTCAATTGCTCCAAGCATAAATTGCAAGGATAGGCTGTCAGGTTTCCCAAGCACATAGATGTATAGAACTAAAAACACCAGCAACATCATTCTTCTTGCCCTTGGCGCGCAGTGCATGGTGGCGATCCCTTGAGGTGGCAATCAAGCCTCAACCGGAAATTCATGGCGCTTGCGGAATCACAACTCGCTGGAAGAAACAAGTTGGGAAAAGGAGCCTGTTCCTTGCCCAGTGGCCAGGAGAAAACAAAATAACTTTTGGCGCTGCGTGCTGCTTTGGTTCGATGGTCGCTCTAGTTGGTGGTTTGGATTTGCGGTTTGGTGGCTAGGAGTCGTTTTCCATTTATCCTCTACAAGAACCTGCCGCAATCCCCAAACCACCAATCCAAAAATTCCAATCCAGCAATGAAGGGTCACCTGTTTTTTGAAGGCCGAACCTGGGACGAAGTTGTCAACGGAGCCGCAAACACGGACCCCTTCTCCCCCCAGGCCTGGGTCAGGAAGGCCTGCAACTGCACACGTCGCCTGACAAGCCAATGGGCTGCCATGAAGTTGACGAGGCATAGGCATAGGTAGGGAACCCCGGTTCCTACCGTTGTTTTCATGCTGACTACTAGGTAATCTGCCGCTTCAAATGTTCATAAACTATTTGGAATGGTCGGAACAACCTGAAACATAGGCTTGCGTACAAATGTTGGCAAACTGATATTTCACCAATGCGATCTAGGGCAATGTGTATCCCTCAAGTGGTATATCACCTCCAAATTTCCTGAACTACCTGACCGAGAAGCTGGCCGCTTTTCAACATGGGCATTGCGCGAGGAAAAATGTTGGTGCCCGTTTCATGGACTTGCAAAAGCCAAAGTGGTCTTTGAATGCACTTTGTTCCACCAAGGCTATTGCCAAACACCACCCGCACAAAAAAAAGCGGCCCCCCCAACAAAAGCAGAACAAATGTGTATCGGCCCCGATTTTGCGGGCCCTTGACTATAGGAAGCAGGGTCATGCTGGTGCCAGAAAGCGGCATGAACCAAGATTGGTAGTTGAAACCACTGGAACTTGGTTGAACGTCAGCTTCCCAAATGGCTGGTGTCTGACACAAGCGCACAACGGGCCGTTCGGGACCCACCTCTCGAGATCTGCGGGCTGCAGCTCCTTGGTATCCTGAGCTAGAGGATTCTAAATGAGTCTGACTGCATTGAGTCTGCCTTCGCTAGTGGTAGATAAGGAAACTCGAAGTTGTATATAGAGATATTCATACAGTTATGTATATCTGCTATGCATGTTATATACGTAACGTATGATATGTTGTGTATTTCATGTACACCGCAGATGAATAGTTTGTATTTGGTTTGTAAACACCGAGTTGCAACCCATCAGGAAGGCCCTTTGTGCAACATCTGGAATATCACCTGAACAAACAAGCAATGTGGCTAAATGCGGCTAAGCTGGATGGTCTAAAGCAAGAAACAAAGGGCTCTATGACAGCCAGCAATCTTAACTTCCCACTCAAACGAGACTGACCCTGCTTGGGACACAACGCTCCTAGGAAGAGTTCCTGTGCAGCGCTATGTTTGCGTGTGATGGCAACTGGTCCCACGTGTTGATGTTGCACAAGCAACCACGACACAACATGTGCCTGGAAGAACGCTTCTGCGGCAGCATCCATGGCAGGAAGTCTAGTGATCAACTTCCGGCTGGAAGGGGATATATTGCAGAGCTCAGGGTTGGGCAGTTGGCCCCGGCAAGCTATTGTGAACAACAGTTAGGTGCGGGTCACATCTGACGCTGTTGATCAATGGCATGCCAAGCCAATATCTAATCAGGACAAGTTAGATGGCAAAAACGAATGCAAGTTGCAAGCTGGTGGTATCACGGTCTGGTCAAGCAGCTTGTTGCTAAGCGGCAGTAGGCATCCATCATGTCACCTCTGTCTCAACCGCAAGTAGTGCTTCTGTATCCATTGATGTGGCCATGTTCGGTTTTTGAAAGTGCTCTTGGAAGCTGACGATATGATTCTTCTGTGTTTGACAAATTGAAGGGACATCTTGAGAGTGCCACTTTAATGAGCCCTGTGGTTTGTCCTGCATGGCAATGGCGTTGCGGAAGACTGGATGCAGGAACTATATTCCACCATGTTCATTCGGTACAATCTTCGAATCTCCGCAAAATCTTGACCATCCTCGCTTCCTCTACTGATGCAAATGGGCAATTCAGTGAACAAACCCCAATCTCGGGTGCTTCACTGTGAACCATCACAGCTCCTGAAAGTAACTATAGCATGTGTTTTGGAAGAAACCGTTCTTGTAGCATACCCTGCTCGTTGGGTTGGTCAAGCAGGTATGACTATAGTACAGGTCTTCTTAGCCCAAGCAATTCTGGGACGCTCAAGTGCAATGCCAGGAAACACCGTTTGAACAGAGTTCTAAACCCAGTTGCGGCAAACAGAAATATCAAATCCCTTCTGCGAAGGCTTCCACGGAGCTTTCGCGGCACGAAAGGTTCCTTCCGCGAGAGGTTTTAAAGAGGGAATCGCTTCTGCGTCGCTTCCGCGCATTGATAAATGGGCTCAAGTTCGTGTTCGCTTCCGCGAGTGCAGGAACACTACAATTCTTATCGTCGCGGCCCTTCTGCGAAGCTTCTGCGAGTACACACATGATAAACCTCTTCCGCGAACCTTTCGCGGCGCTTCCGCAACCTAGGACAAATCAACATGTTGAAAACGATACTTCCTCCCGAATGCTACTTTCAAATGCAGGGGATTAGAACGTCGCTCATTGGCTTTCCTTACTTGCCCTGTGGCCATGGGAAAAGAAGACAGGACACCCTTTTTTGTTTTAAGTCAAAGTGAACCCACCCTCTGAACGAAAACCAGAGCGCACGGGCTGCAAGTGGGATGCACAGCCCACTCAGATCGTTGATTTTGCGCTCGCGAGGCTTCTTACTGCCGGTGCACAGCTGGTCAGGGCGGGGTTTGCAAGGACCATGGTCATGCTCCAACAAGCTGATGCTCCCAATTTCCGACTACCACTCTTTGGTTGGTGCGCAACTACAATCTGTCCAAGGGGTATCTGGTTTGAAGATTGGAGGATTCAGACCTACGCTAGCAGGGTGCACTAACACAATCATCCTGTCTAGACCATGAGGCTCCCCATGCTCGTTGACTCATGGCTCAGATCCGAAACTATTTACAGGACCGCTGGCGCCTGGAGCTCTTACGACACCTACCCTTCACAGGGTGTGTCATGGCTTGTGAAGGGTACAAGCCCAAACAATACCAGGAACATTTGTCCACCTCGTTTCTTGTCCGAGTGGAGAGCACAGCTGTGGTACTTGAGAGGGAACCTCAGAGAAACGTTCAATCCTGTCCACCCAGCTCTAAGACCCATCCTGTTAGTCCCCAACCCTCGGACTTGACTTCGGGACGTCGCGTGTGGAGGACTGAAACCTCTGTTTTGACAGCAGGATCGTGTAGCTCACGATCAAATCCAAGAAAAGATGTAGCTGCGACAAGAAATGCACTGAAGAAATACCCTCAACAGTCAGCAGTCCCCAAGAAAAGAGCATTCACTGGCACATGGAAAGTTCCTTGGAACATCAAAGGAGTGTTCGCAAAGAGCCGCACACGCCCTCTGCTTGCCAATCGGCTGAACCTCACTGAAGCGGCGCTCTGACCTCAAAGCAACCAAGTGGGCTGGGGCCAGAAGAGCGATGGTTCAAGTTTCAGGTAGTTGAAGCATACAACAAGGAAGTCATTGGATGCAAGCGCCTGTGAGCTTCATCCAAAAGGAAGTCACTAGATTCATCCCCTGGCAGCTTCATTCAAAGGCAATCGAATCTCAAGAACAGCAAGGCCCCCTCACACTTCTTGGCTCCTCTACCAAGTTTTCACATGAAGCCCGCAAGGTCCCATCCAAAAGGAGCGGCTCCGCCGAAAAAAGACGAGCCCGCGCCTTCACCTTCGCATGCCGGCAACGTCCACCTGGCCATCGATTGTGGCCTTTCTGGGGCGCCTCCCCGTTCTTTCCAGGGATGCTTCCTTTCAGGAATTCGGTGTCCGGAAAACGGTGGTGGACAAGAATGGGGAAGTCACCCCTAGAAGCGTAAGTTGAAACGCTTCACTCCTCAAAAAGGCGCCTACTCTTGGAGTGGGTCAAAATCTGCGCTTTTTTGAAAAAAGGCGTCAAACGGCATGTAATGGGCCTCCTTCCATTCGTCGGTTCTAGAATGTTGCACAAAGCCATGTCAGAACAGCTGAAACCCGCGTGGTCCCCCCCCCGGTTTGGCGAACCCGATTGGGATTTGTTAAGCTGCAATGCAGAAGGGGACCAACTCCTGATAGGTCAAATGAGCAAGTGCTGGGACAGAATCGGGCCTCCACGGCGGAGGCTGCGTCACCTCGCAAGCGGTGACCAGGATGTTTTGTTGAAGGTGCATCCTCCCCGCAACCCAAATTCTGACATCCACCAAGCATCCTGCTCTACGAAAACTATAGTCACTGTCAACACCGAGGGGCCCCCAACAAACGTGGCTTCACCCTACATTCTCCTGGCTCTGGGATACATATATATATATATATTTATTCATATATGATATATATATATATACACCATCATATACCCTTTTTATGTCCTCTCAAAGAGCCTCTGTCCACTTCTGAGAACCCGCTGAATCCGTTGGAATCCATCGGACAAAGGCTCCGGCCCATGGCATCATCGTCATCCTCCTGCACCCAGCGATGAGTTGGAGTCGTGGGTGGGTGCGTGGGTTTGCTTGGTTGGCTCGTTGCTTGACTGCTCCAGGTGGTTGATCACTGCACCACCCTGTGTGTGTGTGCAGTGTCTCCTTCGTTTGGTTTGCTTCCACTTGCCATGAACAGGTGCGGTCCAAAACCGTCACCAAACCCAAACAACAATTGTGAATCATGGCAATGGCTTGCATCTTGCCTTCTCATAACATATATGCAGCCTGCCAGAAACAATCCACCAAATGTAATATCTCAGGCAGCAATTATCTACAATTAGCATTTAGAGGGTTTCCAGCCATCAGCGCAACCGTGGATGTGTGCTCTTATTATGGTCTTCAACCCTGCTTCCCGTCTCGTGCCGGGGGATTCCAGCAAGGCTGACCCTCACCTGAGCAAAACTGGCAAATGGTCCACGGCCTGGGTTTGCAAAGAATTGTAAGGTCACACCCAGTGTGTGATCAGATCACTGCTGAGTTCTTCCAGTTACCAGCAAGTAAGCAGGTCGGACGTGCAGTTCTCAGCAACACCAACACCTGCGAGTGTAATTTAGCCCAGACTTCTGGCAAAAAGCAAAGTAGAGACGTGTCAAAACTTGGGACCGCTCCGATCGGTTCATGTGGGTTACCCTCTAAACCCTTCCACCTTTCCGGAACACTAGATTGAGTTTGTGGGCTTTGGCCATCAACCAGCTTGAGGAGACGATTTTCCGTGGAAGCATGCCGCTTAGATCTCGAGCATGAAAGCTGAAGTCCGCCCAGGAACAATGAGAGGTTTCCCAGCTGGATTGGGCATATTCAGAATATGGGCCCGAATTTCAATCTGGGTAGCCTTTGTGCATTGGATGTCAAACCTTCTGTCAGCTTGTTCTTTGTGTGTGGAACCCCAAATAAGTCGGGCGCCAACGAACAAATTGTCAATGTCCATTGTGGTTGGTCTAATTGAAATATTGAGTGAGTCAACCATCCCGTCACCTTTGTACTGGATCGCTGTACCGAAAAAAGGGGAGTGGCATGCCCCCCCCATTCCATTTGCCTTCCCAAACCAAAACGGGTGTGCGACAAGCGGAACTCTGTGCACCCCATCCGCTATGAAGAAACTGGGCCGTCCGGAACCCGGCTCGGGCCTCAGGCGCTCCCAGCACTGTCGGCCCATCGCCTGCGCTTGGCAACAAGAGGGGGGGGGAAACGGGGGGGGTGGGCCGTGAGAATGTCCAAAAGACCAGGGGGGGGGGAATGTGTGGTGGAGTGGGGGCAGAGGCGCATTTTCCCTCCACGTGGGAGACCCCCACTTCGACGCTTCGCCTCTGCCAAAGAGCGCGTCGATGTCAAAGGCCGGCGCCTCAATCCCGGCGGTGGGCATTGTGACTTACTTGACTTACGCGTGACGAATGCACCTGGTGGGCTTTTCTGGCACCATGGCCGAGCTGGATCCCAGAAGTGGAGCACCCATGAAGCTTCCTTGGTGAGGTTGCTGTCTTGCTGGGTGGGCATCAAACGACATCAGCGAAAAGCAGGATGGTTGATGGTTCTCAAGGGAGCCACTATAAAGCTGAGTACTTTGAGGGGACAAAGCCAAGTACCAGATTAACATGAGCCACGGTCAAGTGTCGCAGATTGCTCTAACGGGAATGGACACCATGAGGTTCTGCCTTGTGTGGCAAATTCAGTGAGTCTCCCCTGCTCCTCCCGAATTGACCATCAACTTTTCGACGTTCGGACGGAATCCCATTTCGCCATTGCCATGGCTACCATTCGCCTGCCACAGGAGGCTGAACTCCGCGTGTTAAACCGATGGCCAGCTGTGCCGTGACGCTCCGGCATATGCTACAGGAATTACCGTGTTACCCATGGGACTGCTTTTGGTTATTAATCATGTTATCACAATTGTTTGTCACGGGCAAAGTCATGCTTACCTTTGCAGTG